ATATTTTATTACTATGCGATTTTTTCTCAAATGGAAAGGCTGAAGCATTAAGGATAAAATGTTCGATGAGATCAATTCGCTTGTGGAATAAGCCACGCATTTCATTGATTCAGAAGTTGGCATTTTGAATGAGATGGGGCATACAATGACTTGCGGGGGCCAGCCGATGTACAAGTCAGTGTTTTTATCCTCCCAGACAAGTCTGGTACCAATTAACCGACCCCGGAGGGATGGAAGGCTTGGTTGGCCCGGGCGACTCACGACCCAGGATTTGATCCCCGGACCGTGCGCGTGGTAAGCAGCAGCATTTCCACCCGAAAATGAATGATGGAAAGGCTGATTATCAAAACTGATGCTATGCTTCTCGAATTTCTAAAGTTCGGGTATTCAGGTAAACTATTTATTCTCAGTTTCTCGATGGTCTTTACAATCAGATGAGGGCCTCACAACTAAGATATTCTTCTTCTATGCTCACCGGTAAGGTAAGGGAGGGCAACGCGTTTCAGTGAAATCAATTAATTACAAGTTAGCGACTAAGGCGTCTGCTGCTCCCTTTTTGCCTATAACGGATTTGTGAAAAAATGGGCCCTAATTGGGACGTATCTACACCAACAATTATGCAAAAAGGTTTGAAACCTAATATAGAATTGTTAAAACCGAACTTATTTCAGCCCTCTGCTGACTTCGAAATCTGCAAAAGTCGTTGGTTTGGCCATTGAGGACTTCTGGAAGCCTCAGAATTCTAAATATTCCACTGCAGAATTTCGAATAGGACCGGATCCTGATAATATTTTGTCAATAATTATGTGAAAAGCTTCACACATCCATCGTTTGTAACCTTTGCTTAAAAGAATCACTTCAAAGCACTCACAGGTCACAAACGCATTTTCGGTCATGAGAAGTTACAAGCTCTACATTCACTTTATAAGAGTGCTGATCTATACCGAGAGTTCAGCGAATCAGGCAACTGCTTTTTGCTAGGGTTTTCTTTTCTGCTTCGGAAACGTAGCTTAATCAGTGCAGTGCACATTCCAGCAGTGAGTTAGGTATGGCGTATGACTGCTATCTTCACAGCAAAACATTGAATCTTTAAGCCATTTTTATTCATCAATACAGAACTAGAAACAAGGGAGGTGTCTATGAAACAATCTTGTATTCCAAAATAATCTGTTGTTGACCGGATCTGTTGAACGTGATCACAGGTACACGATTTGAGGCCGAAACAAGCACTGTGTTACGATCATTCGGTGAGCAGAACCTACAAAAACAAATATTGTAGCTGGATGGCGGGTTTTCGACTTGAAAACACTCTCACCGATAACCGGTAGGAATTTGATCTTTACTGGATTTGATTCACTCTCCTAGACTGGCAGCATCATGAGCGTAGACCTGTGAATGAGTTTATTTGATCTCCACCTTTTCCCATTCAGGACCCTGGGGAGCTATTCAATTTCACGTATTAGTGGTGATCAAGTAATCATTGTCGACGCATACTTCTATCCAGTAATTGCAGAACATGAATTCATCTCTGACGCCCGAAGGAAATCCCAATTTGTCGATAAGGAATTGCTTGCTCTCCTTCGCTTTCAATATCTTTCCACATCCGGGCGGCTGCAAAAATTTTCTGGCGGTGAAGTTGTCATTAAGACATTTTCAACTTATTCAATTTACTCTTTGATCACAAAGAGCTCCGCCATATCCACTAGGGCAAATACATTCCGAGCACTTTCGTGGATGAGGGAATCCGTCATTCTTGCACTTAGCTGAGGTCGCTTTAGGACATTTTGCTGAATAACGACTTCTCCATGCATTTTCATTGTAGGCACATTTCTTAGCTTTTCCTACCTTTGCAGTTGTAATGGTCGTTGATCATGGACTTATCTATAAAGGAAAGGATTTGCGATCCCATCGATTCTTGATACCTAGTGTCATTGGCTACCATTGTAGGTTTCTTGTTGTGCGAAGCACTGTAAAGTGCATTACTTCATCTCAGTTCAAAGGATGATTCAATTCATATCCACCTAGCTGCTCCGTAGTGCATAATGCTACCATAGTCGTAGGTGAATCCGTAGTTAGTA